TTCAATGTCTAAGTATTTCAAAATCGCTGATATGTATAAAAATTTGTTAAGCATTGGTAAATATCAATTAATTGTAATGCATATTAACTGCCGTAGTCTAAATGCTCATCTTGAAGAAATAACTCAATTAGTGAATAGTATTGGTTCTTATTTTTGTGTCATTGCTTTAAGTGAGACCTGGTTGAATGATAATGCAAATCACGATTTGCTTCATGCACACTTGCCACATCATACCTTGGTAATCAATAATAGAACCACCTAGAAAGGAGGTGGAACAGGAATTTTGTTAAATAATGATATAATTTTCCTAAATTTAAATAACGATCGATCTTTTAATACTAATCACTTTGAATGGTCAGGTATTAAAACTAGTTATAATAACAGTAATCAATACTTTATTAGTATTTATAAATGTCCAACAATAAAAACAACTGATTTCTTCGAAGCTTTATATGAGTTTCTGAGTAGTCATCTAAAGATAGATAATGGTTCTAATGTATATATCCTGGGTGACTTCAATATTAACCTGGCAATTGATAATAATACGTCTCGATCTTTCCTGGATCTCCTAAGTGGATTTGACTTACATCCTATTATAAATAAACCAACTCGTATATTTTACCCTGCTATGTCTATCATTGATAATATCTTCAACAATGACCGTCATTACCTATTGAAAGGCATCATATGTGAAGACTTTTCAGATCATATGCCGATTTTTGTTTCACTGAAATGGGGTGGACAATCCGTTGTGAGCATGCGCCAACCAGTAAGAACCCGTGTAATGAAGGACGAAAATGTGAGATTAGCAAATAAACTTCTTGGTGATGTTTCTTGGCCTGTTTTGACTGATGATACCAGCTTAGAGACGGATTATGAAAACTTTTTTCTAACCTATTTGGATTGTATTAATACTGCATGTCCAATAGTCACCAAAAAGGACCGCTTTAGAAAACCTTGGATGGATATTAACTTGTATAACTACAGTTTGCGCAAAAATGCTTTATATAGGTTTTATATATGTAACCCTACATTAGAGAATAAAAACGGATATATTAAATCAAAAAATTATTTTATTAAACTAAAGAGAGTTAAAGAAAAAGAATATTATGACAATAAGTTTAAAGAATGTAAAACGTCTAAAGAAAAATGGTCCGAAATAAATAAAATATTAAGACCAAAAATTGACAAAACACATCTATTCAAATGTAATGATTCGTTGTTAACAAAATTGAATAGAGTTAATGAAATTAACACATTTTTTATTGATCAATGTAATAGACTTATTTGTCATAACACTGCAGAATTTAATCTGAACAGTTCGATGATGATGGATCATGATTTTCCATCATTCTTCTCAACCGATGCATTAATGATTGTTAATAGACTAAAACTAAAAAAACTGTTTTGACAGTGATCTTTTATCCACTAAATTATTAAAGGGTACTATTTACCCCATAGCTGGTTCAATTGCCACTTTATTCAACAAATCAATCCTCGTTGGCCAGTTCCCTAATAGACTGAAATTGGCAAAGGTACTACCTATTTTCAAGGGTGGTGATTGCAATCAATATGGCAACCCATATCGATTCTACCAGTATTTTCAAAAATTTTTGAAAAACTAATGTTTGATAGAATGTGGTCTTACATATCTAAACACAGCATGATTAATGGAAATCAATTTGGCTTCGTTCCCAAGTCATTAACTGAGAAGGCTATTGCTATGCTGTATGGGACTCTCATAAATAATTATGATTCAAGAAAGCTTAGCTTAGGCGTTTTTATAGATCTAAGCAAGGCATTCGAGGCATAACCCCTTTTGTTTATTCTGTTTATAAATGATATTTTTTTAATATCGAATGTGTGTACCACTATTTTATTTGCTGATGACACGACTATATTCTTGTCTGACGAAGACCCGATAAGACTATTTTCTGAAATGAATAACCAACTGGTTAAATTCTCCAACTGGTTCACTGGAAACAGGTTGATTCTGAATTCAAAAAAATCCTGCTATTTAGTCTTTGGCCCTAAAATCAAAACGAACAAGGATATCTTCTCTGGCCTAACCATTCACATAGGTGACTCAGTGATATCCAGAAACTCGTCAGCTAAATTTCTGGGAATTATTATCCAGTCTGACTTGAAATGGAATGAGCATATAAATTCGTTGGTAAGCAAATTATATAAAATTACTGACATTATTTATAGATCACGCAATAAATTAGGTACTAAAATCATGTTAATGCTATATTATATATATATAGAAATAATTGTTACGTGGCTATTGTTTGTTTTCGCTCTGCTAGAGATTCTCGATTTTCAAAGTTTTAGTGTTGATTTTGTTTCTGAAAATTGGATATATTATTGCAATTAAATTCTAGATACTGTTTTAATTTAATTCAATATTTAAAGTTGCGTATTTTTGGCATTTGAATCGAATTTTTTGAATCGAGTTTATTTAGTCACGTGTTAATTGCAGTGTACAGTTTTGTTCCACCTGTTATTATGAATGCACGTCAAAATCCAGGTAAGAAAGACGGTGTACTTACGTTGAAACAGCTTCAATGTTTTCAGTGTGAGTGCACGGCTAATGTTGATTCAATGTCTGACGAGGTTTATTCAATTGTACGTTTAAACGGTAACATTAAATGGTTTTGTGATAAATGTGTAAAAAACGTTTGTGACATGAAACTGTTATCTAAATCTATTGATGACATAAAAGTTACGTTCAATGAAAAGTTAGACAAACTCAACGATGTTAATGCTTCAATTAAGACTAAATTGGAAGAAACTGATTTGGGGCTGTTGAATAAATCGATTGATAAATCAGTAAATCACTTGATGAAAAAGTTAATGCCATCAGTGCCAACCACGTCGCTATAAAATCGCAGCTGGACTCGATTGAGTGCACATCGGGAAAAAAGTTAAATCAAGAGATAAGCGGCCTCAAGTCTGAAATGATGAGATCTTTTGCTAGTGTGGTCAGCACTGAAGTGAAACAGAGTGCTAAGATCATCAATGAAGATCTTAAAAATGTCCGAAGAACACTAAATGATCTTGCCGATGCTAAAGAAAGAGAGGCTAATGCGATGCTGTTCAGGCTGGGAGAAGGCCTTGATGACAAGGATCGGGTCATAAAAATGATTGCGAAATTGACTGATGACACTGTCAACGGAAAAAATATACTGAAAGTTTTTAGATTGGGTAAGAGAGGTAAAAGAGTTGTCAGGCCAATCCTCATCAAGTTTGATGATGTAAAAAGCAAGGAATATTTCTTTACCAATTTGTACAAACTCAGATCTTTGAACGATGATTTTGCACACGTCAAATTGAGTCATGATTTGACTGTTGATCAGCGCAAGGAGCTGAAAAGAATTTTAGATGATGCAAAAGCGAGAGAAACCAACTGTAAAGAGAGTTTTTTATACAGAGTGCGAGGGGAAGTAGGAAGGTGGAAAATAGTGAAATTTCCGGCAAAAAAAGAGTCAAATTAATAAATGGTAGAGTGGGTTCGTGCTATGATTTGTTTGGATTAGTTAAAAATAAATTTCATCACCTAACAAACAAAGGATCTAATGTTAAATACAATGTTACGATTGGACTGTTAAATGTCAGGTCAATTTCAAAGAGGGTAGATGATGTTCATGGGTTACTTTGTGATGGATTGGATATACTGGTTTTAACGGAAACATGGCATACTACTGAACTAAATAAAAAGTGAATAAACTACTTTTTGAGTGTTTATAAGAAAAATTAATTATTAATTCTAGGTAATATATAAATAAAGATTTTGACTTTCAAAGAATTTCGGTTAAAAATAGAAAAATCATGATATTAGCCAACAATGCAAATGATTGAAAATTTTTTGAATACAACAAGTGAAGAAAAAAGTTTATGCTAAATACTTTGAACTCCAACGAATGAATTGTATTTGATGAGATGCAAGATATCACTTTTGTATTCTGTAATATAAAAACCAATAAAGACTGGAACGAAGGCATAGAAGTACCACAATGAACACATCAGAAACAATCAATTAATAGTCCTGGAGTTGTTTGAAATTTTTAGTGAATTTATCTAAAGTAATACAATATAAAAAAACAAAATTTAAAAAAAAGCAAAGCATCATCATCACAATTATTGTAGTGTTTGTGCTTGCATACATTTATTGTACATTGTGTTGTGAGTATAGTACGAGTCACAAGATTATCTATCTCTGTATTCATGGATACATGTTTCATTTAAAAAAATCATAGTACACTGGACTGTATTACTGTTTAATGTAGGTAATCGCGCGGCTCGAGCGGATGCATGAAATCATGTTAATGTGAAACGGCGTAATTTTTCGACCCGCATTTTTAGCACGCAACTTTTAAGCATGCGTTGACGCAAAAAAATTGACAAAACATTCAATATTCTGTGAAATTTTTATAAGAATCAATTTGGTCGCCGATACTGAAAAACAGCTTTGAAGTTCCTGCTATAAAGTAAACTGATGTCAGCCATGCACGACTTTGGCGTTGATGATTAAACATGCTATAACTTTAGAACTAAATGAAGAACATTACATTTAATTCAATTATATGACTTTACTTTTACTGCTAAATACGTTTTTACACAATATAAATAAGTAATCAAATTTTTCAGCATATTTATACAAATATTCACTCATTTCAATCATACCAATACAGAAAGTTACTGGTAATAATGACGTTTCTAACTTCCGACCAATTTCACTTGTACCAGCATTCTCAAAAGTAATTGAAAAAATTATGCACAGGAAAATAATTTCGTTTTTATAAAAAAATAACATCATTTCAAATTACCAGTTTGGGTTTCGAGAGAAACATTCAACAGAACTGACCATCATCGAACTGATAAGAAAAATTGGTAATCTAGCGGAGAAAAAACATTTCATTGTAGGAACATGCCTCAATCTGTCAAAGGCATTTGACTGTATCGATCACAACCTGCTAAGCAAGCTTGAGCACTACGGTATAAAAGGTACGACATTGAAATGGTTCAGGAGCTATCTGTCTGGAAGAAATCAGTTTGTTTGTTGGGGAAATGAAAATTCAACATTACGACACAATGGTGTCGGGGTTCCTCAAGGAAGCATCTTAGGACCACTGCTATTCATCATCTTCATCAACGATCTACAAGATGCAACCGACTACTTCGATTACGTTTGCTTTGCTGACGACACAAACATTTTTGGAAGCGGGAAAGATATTGATGATGTTATCGATCAAACCAACGCTGAAATAAAACACGTTGTCAAATGGTTCAACCCCAATAAACTGACTATAAACATTTCAAAAACGCAATTGATTGTCACCGGACCAGTGCAATATTTAAATTATAAAGAACCGTATAAAATTACAATCAACAACCAAGAAATAATCGAGAGTAAAACAATAAAATTATTAGATCAGAAACTAACATTCAAACCCCATGTCAATTACGTTTCAAACAAGTTAGCGAAATCCGAAAAAATGCTTGAACATGATCTATAACGCCATCTGTCTACCTCACGTGACGTACTGCAATGTTGTTTGGGCCAGTGCGTATCAAACGACCACAAACCCCGTCAAGATGCTGAGGAAGAGGGTAATGAGGGTCATCACGCTGTCCAGGAAGCAAGCGCACACCAATCAACTATTCGTCGCCACCAACAGTTTAAACTTTGACAAATTAAATCTTTATTTTGTGGCAAATTTTGTTTTCAAGCAACTTACAAATAGGCTCCCATCAATTTTTAATAATCATTTCACCATTAATAAAAGTTCTAGACAAGTCAAATATTTATTATCAAATAAATCAAAGACAAATATTCTGTATTCACATGTTGTATGTAAGGGTCCTAGAGTGTGGAATCAAATTTTGAAAGATGGTTTTTGCTATGAAAATTTGTCTGCAATCTTTAAAAAGAAATTAAAACTATTTCTGTTGTTGAATGACCAATGACTAACCGTAAATCAATATAGATATGGAGATCTATTTTTCAATTTTTATTTGCGTCTTAATTGCCATTGTTTAGTTCACATATCTGTTTAACTTTTAGAACAATGTCGTTCTATATATTGCTTAAATATATAGATAACTATGTAATGTCTATCCCGTGTTTTTCTGGATAGATACCAAACCTTGTTATACATAAACCATGAACTATCGTACTAACAACTAACACCTGTTATGCTAACATAGTTGAGTTTGTTAATTTACTAACAACTAACATCTAACATGCCTCTCATAGATCATTTAGGAAATATTTATATTATTTGCTGAAAATTTGTGTGAACTTGGAATATTTCTGTTTAGGTGGCCATACTAGATGAATTTTATATAAATTCTATTATGGTCATCCTGCTTTCTTTTAATTTTCAATTTTGAGAAGCAAATAAAATTTCGTTTCATTTCGTTTCATTTAAAAAATAAATTCATATGTGTTGTTATCGTTGTTTTTTGTTTACAAAGACATGGTGTAGTAAACAATATTTTTACATTCTTAAATTTGAGTTAGGGTTATGCTGCTAATGAGTTGCAGATTATGGAAATAAAGTTGAATAATTTTTTCATGCATTTTTTTTCTCGTGCAACTACCTATCAGTTTAAGAATTTAAAATTAAAATATAATACAATACAGAAGTCAGGTAATACATTTTTTTAATAATAGAAATATTTTATTGATATTATACATATTTTTTTAAGTTAATTTATTTATATAATATCATATTAAAATACATTTCATTTAGATTTCAATTCATCATATAAAATAAATAAAACCAATAATTTTTTAATAAAGTATTGACAAATATTTTTAATATTTATCATATTTTTAATAAAATATAGACAAATAAATAAAACCAATAAATAAAACCACCAATACTATTTTAATAATTGTAATGAGTTGCAGATTACACTGCCCAACAGTGTTTTTGTATCTGAACCAAAATTAGTCGTTTCTTATGTATTTCCACCTGCTGAATCCGAAAATGACATTAAAAATTACATATTAGCTCTAGTTCAAAAGATAAAAGCAAAACTCTATCCTCAAGAGTATAAATTTTTATTTTTTGGAAAAATTTTTTCATCTTTTTTTATTTTGCCTCTTGTTTTATTTATAGAGGCACATGAAATAGAAGAAGGAAAAAAAAGCCAGCCTTCCACATCAAATGATTCTGATTTTGTGTCAACAGATGATGCACCACACAGAAAAATAACCTTGTTGTTTGCGTTGATATCTATGGATAAATGTATTGTCTCAATTTGAACTATGATCCAAGTGAATGGAGATTATTCATAGATTCATCAAAGCTAAGCTTGAAAGCTGTATTACTGCACAATGGAAATCATTTTCCATCAGTTCCTATTGGCCATGCAGCTCACATGAAAGAAACTTACCTAAATATGAAAACTCTTCTTAACCCAATCAATTACAACGAACACAAATGGAAAATTTGTGGTGACCTAAAAGTATTCCTAAAAGTATTGCCACACTTTTAGGAATGCAATTAGGCTATACCAAATACTGCTGCTTCTTGTGTATGTGGGACATAGAGACAAAATTTCATATTACACAAAAAAGGACTGGCCTGCTAGAAATCTCAACAAAGATGAAAAAAATTTTGTTGCTGAAAGATGTACTTCTTCCATCCTTACACATTAAGCTGGGTTAAATGAAAAATTTTGTCAAAGGAACAAAGGACAGGCTTTTAAGTATTTAAGAAACAAATTTCCAAAACTAAGTGATGCAAAAGTTAAAGAGGGTATTTTTGTTGGACCATAGATACATGAACTTGTGAAAGATCCTGCATTTGATGAAGTTTTGAAGGGGCAAGAAAAAGAAACTTGGGAATCTCTCAAGGGAGTGATTTGTGGAATTTTAGGCAACAGAAGAGATGATAACTACATCCAATTGGTAACAGTACTTCTGCAAAAATGCCATCAACTAAAATGTAACATGTCCTTAAAGATTCAATTCCTTCACTCACATTTAGACTTCTTTCCCTTTTGTGGAGCTGTTAGTGATGAACATGGAGAAAGGTCCCACCAAGATATATCTGTAACGGAAAAAAGATATCAGATTCGTTGGAATGATGCTATGCTTGCAGATTAATGTTGGTTTATATATAGGAATGCTCCAGAGCTCGCATACAGGCGGAAAGCAAAAATAGAACACTCGCGCGAAAATATTCTATAATAATCTTTGTATTTATTAGCTTTCATTGTTTAAAACTGTTAGAATATAATCTTTATTGAAAAAACTGAATGCACTTTAAATATTATTAAAATAAGTAAATTATATGTCACATTGCTATGCTGTGAATAAGAAAAACGAAAAATTTTTTGTTGTTGTATATCTCAGAAACTAGAGCTAATAAAAAAATTTTCGTTTGCATTTTCGTTTTTCTTACCCCAAAATTAGTATAATTTGACTAAAAAAGTTAAGGATACAAAAAATCGTTTTGACCATATAGTTAATAAGTCGAGTTTTGATTGGATGGTGTTTGAGTTAGATGATAGGATGATAAGGTAGGTGCCATCATTGTATTTGATGATGTGATTAGAGCCATGAAAAGTTTTGAGAGTAGAAGCATTGATGATAAATGTAGATGGTCCAAGGATTGTATTGGTTTTATTTAATTAAAAAAAATTTTCAACTTTTTTTTCATAACACTGGGCAACAAAAATGTTTCAAGAATTTTTCGATGATACAGTTATTGCTCATATTATTGATCAAAGTCAAATATATGCTCAACAAAAAAACAGACATGGATTTGAACTGAAATCTTATCAGTTACAACGTTTTATTGGATTTCTGCTTTTTACTGGCTATCATAAGCTACCAAGAGAAGAAATGTAATGGGAAAATGCGGAAGACTGCAACATCAAAATAGTAAATAATGCTTTAAGTCGTCAACATTTTAGAAATATTAAACAAAATCTTCATTTAAGTGACAATACAAAAATTCAATCTAATGATAAGCTTTATAAAATCCGTTCATATGTTGAGTTAATGAATGCAAATTTTGTAAAATTTGATGTGTTCTCCCACAATCTCAGTATTGATGAACAAATGATCCCATATTTTGGGAGGCATTCGTGCAAAATGTTTATGAAGGGCAAACCTGTTCGCTTTGGGTTTAAAATATGGTGCCTTTGTTCATCCGATGGATACCTTTTCCATTCTATTCCTTATGCTGGTAAAGATGAAAACTATGATCCTGATCTAGGTCTTGGAGCCAATGTGGTTTTAAATTTGTTACAGGTAGTGAATACTCCAGAGCAACATGCTATATATTTTGATAACTTTTTCACTTCCCACAAACTCATGATCAAACTTCGAGCTGCACATTTTTATGCTACTGGAACTGTACGTGAACCTCGATTAATTAACTCAATATTAGAAGACACCAAGAAGCTTCAAAAAAAAGAGAGAGGAACTTTTGACAGTTGTTTTGACATCAAAAACGAAATTCTGGCAGTCAAATGGAATGACAACTCTGTAGTAACCCTGGCAAGCAATTTTCAATCGGTTGAGCCACTCCTGACAGCAAAAAGGTTTTCAAGATCCAAAAGAAATGATTCAGCAACCAAATCTCATTGCATCCTACAATGCTAATATGGGCGGAGTAGATATGTTAGATAATTTTTTTGCAAAATATAGAATAGGAATCAAAGGAAAAAAATGGTGGTGGCCTTATTTTGTAAATTATGTTGATATTGCTCTCTGCAATGCATGGAAAGTGTATCGACTTGTAAATGGGAGCAAAATTGATTTATTGGAATTTCGTCGTCGAGTTGCTATTACACTTTTATCCACTAAAGCTCCTGATGACGATTGCCAATCCAATAAAATTTTATGCGGATCTCCATCATCACTTAAAAAATTATCAGATCCTAGGGTGATGTCGGATCATTACATTTTGAAACATCCCGAAGGACGCAGGCTCAGATGTCGACAGTGTAAAAGTACGACATGTTATATTTGCGGCAAATGTATGGTGGGCATTCATGCTAAATGTTTCACAACATACCACCAGTGACAAACAAATAAAACAATTAATTTTTTATGTACATTGTTAATATTCTGAACATTACATAAAAAATTCTAAATATACTGAATCCTGCCGACGTTGCGAAAACGCAACGTTGTATATTTTTGTAATTTTTATGATATCAATAAAATTTTGTTTATACTATGTTATTATGACTATTATTGACTTGTAATTTTAATATAATGTTTCCGGTGACCATGCTAGCCAACCCTATTTAACTCAACCCCATTTAAGCCAACCCCCTCCAACTCGACCCACATGCAACTCAACCCACATGCAAGTCAGACCACATGCAACTCAACCCACATGCAAGTCAGACCACATGCAACTCAACCCACCTTCAATTTGACCTTAATCAATCCAACCCCATTCAACTCAACCCCATTTAACTTATACCTCATTTAATTAGACCCTCATTAAACTGAACCCTTATGCAACCAAACCTTTGTTTAGCTCAACCATTGTCTAGCTCAACCCATGTTCATTTGGGCCCAATTTTTTTTACTGAATCAAAGAGTAAAAAATCCAGTTAATTTTCCCAGTCCATTGAACCATGTGACGTGTTTTAACTTATCTGTACTGGTATAAAATTTATCGATTTTGGGTAGAAAAAAAGGTTTCAGTTAATAATCAAAAATTGGTTTTTGTCTCTTTTGCTCATCCTTGCTTCTCGTTTCTGAGGAATTATTCCATACTGGTTTCTCCTGTTTGACTACAAATCCCGTAAAGCCTTCTCAATTCTCAGCTAAGCAGTTGTGATTTTAATGCAGTTGCATTTTGTCTCTCTCTAAATTGGGTTGAGAATTTTTGGAACATCAATCTTAGCCAAACAAAAGTTGTTTCATTTAAAAGACTTGGTAAGTAAATATTTCAATAGTTCATTTCATTTTTTTAAAAAAAATTTCTAAAAAATCTAATGAGACCTTAGTATTAGCTGTGAAAAATAATGTTTGTACTGTATATATGCACACATGAATCTTGAGTCATAGATCAAAGCAGATTTGACAATTGTCAAAATTACACATGCATAATTAAAATTAACTTAAAAATTACTATTCCATACAGTAAACATTTATTTAGTTTTTTCTCATTGTTTGAATCATTATTTATTTAAAAAGTTGTAACAAGTTTTGTAAGAAAAAATATTTATTTCTTTAATCGTTTATTTCTTAAATATATAAACAAAAGTAGATTTTTTTGTACAAATAAAAGATTTTATTTTTAAAATCCAAACAGATTCTCAAAATCAAAAAATGGCTCAATATTCCATGTACAAATCACACCAAGGTGGAAACGTTCTTGCATACAATGGTCATGAGTACCTTTACAAAAGGTCTAACCAAGATGGCTCTATTGTTTGGAGATGTCGAAAATATTTTTCATTAAAATGCCATGTTACGTTAACTACCAAAGGTCAACAAATTGTAAAACAACCTAACGATCATGAACATCCTGGTGATCCTTTGAATACTCAAAAGAATAAAGTCATGTCTGACATCAAAGATGCTGCAACTAGTTCAAATCCCTCGACTAGAAATGTCTTTGCAGAACAAATGAGAGGCCTGAATGAGGATGTTATGGCAAGATTGCCCCAAAAGAGCTCCATTGAAGGAACTATTAGAAGAGAGCGGAAGAAGAATAATTTTGATCAAAGAGAACCACAGTCTTCATCTTTTCCAATTCCTCAAGAATTTACTGATCTTGTTCTTTTAGATTCAGGAGAAAATGATAACAAACGAATTTTGGTGCTAGGCGATAGCGAAATGGTCAGATACTTTGATTCATCTGAACTGTTTCTTGGTGATGGCACATTTAAATGTGTTCCTTCATTGTTTTTTCAACTTTATACAGTTCATGCAAAAGTTGGTAGTTCTTACCCTCCATGTCTTTATTTTTTTTTACCTGACAAAACAGAGGATACCTATGAACGAATGATTCAATATCTTAAGCAGCTTGCCCCCCTTGCCAATCCAAACCAAATATTACTGGATTTTGAGTTAGCTGCGATAAACGCTTTTAGGCATGAGTTTCCAAATGCACATATATCAGGATGTTTTTTTCACTTCTGTCAAAAGTATACTGTAAAAGGTTCAATCTTTAGGCTTGAAAGGGGAATATGAGAGAGACGCACACCTCAATATGCTCATAAAGAGTTTGTGTTCCTTGGCATTTGTACCACTCAATGAGCTGACTGATGTTTTTGAGCTGCTTTGCCAACAGTTTCCAGATGGTGACGAACTGACAGCACTTTTATCTTATGTTGACCAAACTTACATAAGGGGAATTCAAATGCGTAACCGAAGAAACCCTCCAAGATTTCCCCCAGAGCTTTGGAATCGTTGCTTCCGAAGGCTATCATCATGCACTGAATGCAATGTTTTCTTGTCATCATCCTGGAGTCTGGAAATTGTTTCAAGGGTTCAAGAATGACATTGGAGTCCAAAGATTAGTTGCTGTTCAAGCAAGGAATGGAATTGAGACAACCAGGAACAAGTATAAAGCCCTTGCTGAAAAATTATCTGCCAAAGTCCAAGGATATGGAACAGAGCCAGATAAACTAAGATATCTGAGACAAATTGCCCATCTTCAAGTAAGCTAATTTTTTCCCCAAAGAATAAGTCATGGTTTTTAATTGATTGGAGGAACTTACACGTAAATATTTACTGTTTTAACTTTGTGGAGAACAAGGAGAAGTTGTTTCATAAAGTTAAAAATTGAGAATACTTTTAAAAGAAATTTTGTTAAATCACATGAACAATTTAGAATAAGAGCTTCATTAAACTTTTTAAATATGCAAAGAATATTTATGGAAATAAAGAAGTTTTAATCTTGTGATATCTCCCATCTTTCTTTTTTTGCCATATTTTTGTACTGTATAAATGTTGCATTAATTGTTTAGACACAAACAGAAAAGAGGTGTTAGGCCTTCAATGACATTTTAAAAATGTAGAGCTGAGGATTCTGGATTTAATTTTAGACAAGATGTGATTGGGTTCAGATCCAAGCCTTGGGTTAAGATAAAGGTTGGGATAATTGTTTGTTCAGTAAAATTTGGGAC